GGTCTTCAGACCTCTCGTGGTAAACAGCAAGGCTACGAAGATACCCATCCTGATCGATAGGGAACAACGCAAGAACCCGTTACTGGTAGCAATGTATGCAATAGGCTTCCATCAGTGCTCCAACAAATAAAATTAGCAAACAACTGGGGGGTCAAACAAATTAGCATATACGATGACCTCACAGGAACCTTGGGAAAAGTGGAGGACATCAAAGTGGGTGGGACCTGTTACACATCTTGAGGTCCACAAATGAGAATTTTCACCCAAACGCCCAGCAATCCTCCATCAGTGAAATGAGATCATTATGATCCGGGCTGTGGAGTTCGGCGAAGTGAGGTCAAAATAACTAAGGACATTAAGACATCTGGGCGCAGTAATTGGCACTACGGACTTCAAGACCAATGCTATTAGGAAGGTGAACAGGTGGAGTTAGCAAGAATCCATATATCGGGTGCCTGACACAGAACCTATCTGACACTGCAGCATTCACCTGCCAGGTCAACATCCGTTGGAACTTACCTGATAAGTACCTCCCCCCTGGAATCCGCCCCTCCTCCACCCTTGGAAGAAGCAATATGTGTCAAGTTCATTCCCCAAATAGTGAAAACACCGACCCAACTAGTAGAGAAAGAACATGCACTTCCACCAAGACTGGGAGGGATGGGACTAACTAATCAGAGAGGTGCTGACTCTGAACATCAGAAATTCACTTAAGCTCACATGGCCCTCGCGACCCATAATGGCCCAGAAATGCAACAGGAAGTAAGACACCAGCAGAGATTAATAAGATCAAATAGTCCATTACAGATCAGCAGCACTGCAAGAAGCCAGCATGTTACATAACTATTACTGCGGGTTCGAAAATCTGACAAAAAAAGTAGCTATAAGCGCGGTGGGCACCTCGAACTAGTTAACTACGTTACCGATAAGGGCAAAATGGTTTGGCATAACAAACAAGAATTTACAGATGCCATTGCTCTAAAGATGGGTTGGCCAGTAGATGGTTACTTACTCCCAATGCGTGTGGCTATTCCTATGATGGCGATCACGCCATGGTTTACAGAGGCCATATGCATGAGGGCATGATGAGGGTAAAGGATCTCACAGCAAATATGTTGAAGCCTGCCAGGACGTCATGAGTAGAACCATTATCACTTCCACTGGATGCGTGAGATCCTCCAACTGGGACAAGCATCTATGGTAGTGTGGACGTCAGTGCTCGAGGATTCTGGACGCGGGGACAGCGAGCCTTCGCCCATCAGGATTTTTGATCCGCGGCCGTTTGTCACGTGAACCCCTGGCTCTCGATGCTGCACCTGGGAGGAGCAGGAACGACAAGAGGGCATATGGGAGAGAATTAAAATGTCGATCAAAGGCAACTTCCTCCGTAGTATTGCAACCTCTCTGGTAGGATGGGCCCCAGCATAAGATGTTTCTCATGAACTACAGCGGAGCTGATCTCGAACAGAAGCAGCCCAGAAGTTATATCACAGCCCTAGATGAGATGTCGACTGTCCTTCTCTCAACTAGGTCAGCTTCTGCTCTGCCTCAGAGGTGAACTACCTTTCTCAAATCGCTGCCCAGATATCGACTATGAGGCTACAATTGAATCTTGTCGATCTGCGGCTCCAACTAGACTAACACAGATGAGATGGTTGCTTATGTATTAGGATATTTAATATTAAAGATTAAATAAATGGTGTGGCAGAGGTGTGGCTGTTGGGGGGAGGCTAAGGCCACTATATTTAAAAAAAAAAAAAAAAAAAAAAAAAAAAAAAAAAAGTTTAGTAAAGTAGTAGTAGTAGTAATAGTAGTAGTAGTATTAGTAGTAGTGGTTAGTAGCAGTGGTGAGCCAGTAGTAGGTAGTATTAGTAGTAGTATTAATTAGTAGTAGTAGTAGTAGTAGTCTGTGCTTGTAGAACCAAAACTGCAAATTGGCTGTGCGACAACCGACCATGTGTGGATTGCAGGAAGCTGGGTGGTCATCTGGAACCCACATGACAGAGCCGACAGGCGGCACAGTGGTTCTTGGGACCCAACCTTGATGATATCAGAAAATGATAACAGTAGTCCTCTCAGCAGTAGTACTAATAATGCATATAGTGTCCCAGGAGAATGAGGCTACCTCAGTGGAATGGCATGTCGATGGAAATCTGGTAGTATGGGTCAAAACCTACTCAGAAATTGTCCAAGTGGTGGCCCTTCTTATTTGAACCACCCAAATTAATGGGCCACCAAGGGAGTGAGTTAAGGAATGGCACAGTTACACTCAGGTTGCTTCCTCCTTGTAGCTCTTCAAATACTGGCAATATACCACATCTCTTTGTCAGAGGACACACCTTAAGGCTAAGCACAAGAAAATGTGGCAGCAATAGAGAAGATTGACAATGTGGCGGGCTGGGACTAGATGAATCCTCTATGTGGGAAGCAGAACACTGCAGGAGACTAAATCTGGTGTGACGGAAAACCAAAACACAGATGACGTGGCAAGAAAATTTGGAAACAAAATAGCTGTGTGGGAAAGAGTGTCTCCTCAAAACGACAAGATCTACTCACTCAGGAATCTTCCGGTGGAGGTGGTACCCAATAAACAGAGACATTAAAACTATTGAAGAAAACATCCCCTGCATGTGAAGATGGTATCAAACCCACGGTGCCTGCTCCCACCAAATGCTGTCTGTTCAGAGAAAATAACTTGGGAGAGATGGAGTGTGGAAAAAAGGCACAGGCTCGTCTGGAGAGCCATGCAGGTCATAAGATCTAAACAAACAGTTGAAGTCATCCTCACTTTAAAACAAGTTTGGCCCAACAAGCGATCTACCGTGCACTTACAGCTTGCATCCTCTTGCTACTTATCACCTCAGGCTGACGTACCTTATTCCTCTGGAAAGAAACCGGGATGTAGACCTATAGAGGTGAAGTGCTGAGGCGGATTATCAGAGGTATAATGGAGGTGGTAAGGACGATGTCAGGGGAACATGGCAAGGGAACCTGAAGTGTGTGCTGGCCACCAGGCTGGTGGGAGGCGGCCATTCACGCCGCAAGTTGATATTTGAGCAGCGTGGGTGTGGGGGCCGTCTCCTGAGTGAATAACTAAGCGCATTCAACATCATAACATAAGGCTGCACTGCTACTTATCAGAATCAGTGTCCTAGCTTTGCGATGTATGTTGAAATTAATATAAAATCCATCAGACCTCTACCTGTAGTAAACAACAAGGCTCTACGAGGTGATACCATCCCACAGTCGACTGAGGGAACAACACAGGGGACCCCACGTTGCAATGACAAATGTATGCAACCAGAGCCTATCAGTGCTCCAACAGAAATAAAGTTTGAAACAACTGAGGAGTCAAACAAGTAGCATGTAAATGACCTTACAAGACAGGAAAGTGGAGGACATCAAAAAGTGAGTGGGTTTCATTGACATCAGGTCCACAAATAAGTGCCACCCAAACGCCAGCAAATCCTTCCTCATCGTGAAGCCAGATCATTATGATGCGGGCTTTGGAGGTTTCGGCGAGGTGAGGTCAAAATATTAGGACGACCCAGAACATCTAGGCAATGGTGGCACTACGGACTTCAAGATGATGCAGCCATGGGAAGGTGAATGGTGGTGACAGAATCAAAACCTATCGAGAATTGCTAACAAGAATTACATGCGGCCCATGGCATTCACCCATGGAGTCAGCTTGTCGTTGCTGGAACTGCCTGATGCGCCATCCCTGGGAATCAGTTCCTCCTCCACCCTTTGGGCAATCAGTGTCGGATTCATTCTGACAGGTAAACACCCTGATAACCTATGAAAAGAACACTTCTTGCGCTTCCACCAAGAACTGGGAGGATGGGACTAACTAATCCAGAGAGTGCTGACTCTGGCGTAAAGTCCACTTTAGCTCGGCAGCCTCACTGACACATAGCCCAGAATGCAGCAAGAAGTGGACACCAGCGAAGTTAGCAAAAAGATCCATGGGTCCATTACCACAACAGATCGGCAGCACTGCCAAAATGATATGTTACTGTAACTATTTATGCATGTTCAGAAAATTTGACAAAAAAATGGCCAAAGCGGGAGGTGGTAGCCTCGAACTGGTTAACTACGTTTACCGATAAGGGCAAATGGTTTTGTGTAACAAACAGAATTTACAAGATGCCATTGCTCCTAGATGCGGTTGGCTGATAGATGGTTTGCCCTCCCATTGCGTGTCAAATCTCTCCCTATGATGGCGATGCGCCATGGCGGGTCTGCAGAGGGGGCTTCTTATGCATGGGGCGCTGACGGAGTAAGGGATCTCACAGCAAATATGTTAGAAGAAATCTGCCGGGATGTCATGCTGGTAAGGCAAGCCCTCAACTCCATTGGATGGTGAGATCTTCAACATGGGACTTCAAACACATCTAACAAGAAGCCCGTGTGGACATAAGTGCTTTCGAGGATTCTGAATAGCGGGACAACGAGCTTTCTTGACGTAGGTTTTTAGCCCATAGCCGTTTGTCACCATGCTAGCTCGATACTGCACATAGGAGGAACAGAACGACAAAGAGAAGAATATGGAGAGAATTGGAAATGTTGATCAGGCAGCTTCCTCCTCTAAGTGTTCACAACCTCTGAATTTGGGCCCCAAATTCCAAGATGTTTCCCTTAGAATGTGGGCGATCTCGAACAAGGCAGCAGCTTCCCAAGTTATGTTGGCCCTGGATGAGATGTCATTGTCCTTCTCTCTCTCTTCGGTCGGCTTTGCTCTGCCCCTCAGGGGAACAGAGCCTGCCCTACTCCGACAGCTGCAGATATTGACTATGGGGCTACAGTCACTGAATGCATAGATCTGCTTATTTCAACTAATTGCCTGAATGGGGATTCTTCTTAATGAGATATTTGTATTAAGGTAAATAAATGGTGTGGCGAAGGTGTGGCTGTTGAAGGGCTGGAGGCCTGAAAAAAAAAAAAGTAGTGGTAGTAGTAGTGGTAGTAATGGTATTATTGATGGTAGATTAATTAATCTAGATTAGTAATCGTGGTGGTGTTGTAGTAAACGGTAATGTTACAACAGCGTAGGTGGGGTGGGCAGCACCAGGTGGCGTGGGTGGGCAGCAGGTGGCGTGGATGGGCAGCACCAGGTGGCGTGGGTGGGCAGCAGCATTTGGCGTGGATGGGCAGCACCAGGTGGCGTGGTGGGCAGCACCAGGTGGCGTGGGTGGGCAGCGGGTGGGGTGGGTGGGCAGCAGCAGTTGGCGTGGGTGGGCAGCACCAGGTGGGGTGGGTGGGCAGCAGCAGGTGGTGTTGGGTGCGACGGTACCAGGTGGCGTGGGTGGGCAGCAGCAGGTGGCGTGGGTGGGCAGCAGCAGGTAATGTGGGTGGGCAGCAGCAGGTGGCGTGGGTGGGCAGCAGCGGGTGGCGTCGGTGGGCAGCAGCGGTTGGCGTGGGTGGGCAGCAGCAGGTGGCATGGTGGAAGTGGTGGGCAGAAGCAGGTGGTGTGGGTGGGCCGCAGCAGGTGGTGTGGGTTGGGCAGAAGCAGGTGGTGTGGGTGGGCAGAAGCAGGTGGTGTGGGTGGGCAAGCAGAATGGTGTGGGTGGGCATCAGCAGGTGGGCAGCAGCACTGCCCACACTCACTTTTGCTGCCAAGTTTCGTCTGTGCTGGTGTCGCGTGGCTGTATTTGGCCAAGGTGTCGCCACGGTCAGCGGGCCACTGCTTGCTGCTGCTTGCAGAGGGCAATGCTTGCTGGGCCTTGCCAGCTCTTGCTTGACAGTATGCTGTTTGTTGTTGCTTCATTGTGCGTGTGGTGTTTGTTATTGGTTGATGGTGTGGTAATTGTGTGTGTTTGTAGCTTGAACTATTGTTTGCTGATATTTGAATTTGAGGTTGTTAGCTGATGTTAATGGCGCAGTTATTATTTCTTTTTATATGGGAAGCTATTGTTTGGCCTTGTATGTATTGTTTGTTAGGGTTCAGTAATGAAGCTATTATTTGTTGATAGTGGAGCTATTGTTTGTCTGAGTATTACACAGATGCTGTTCATTGCCTTATGTTGTGGCTATTGTTTGTTGATACTTGTTTGTTACTATGGCTATTGTTTGTTAATACTGTGACTGTGGCTATTGTTTGTTAATACTGTGACTGTGGCTATTGTTTGTTAATACTGTGACTGTGGCTATTGTTTGTTAATACTGTGACTATTGTTTGTTGATACTGTGACTGTGGCTATTGTTTGTTAATACTGTGACTGTGGCTATTGTTTGTTGATACTGTGGCTATTGTTTGTTGATACTGTGACTGTGGCTATTGTTTGTTAATACTGTGACTGTGGCTATTGTTTGTTAATACTGTGACTGTGGCTATTGTTTGTTGATACTGTGTGTGTTGTTTTTTGATACTGTACTGTGGCTATTGTTTGTTAATACTGTGACTGTGGCTATTGTTTGTTGATGCTGTGTCTATTGTTTGTTGATACTGTGACTGTGGGTATTGTTTGTTAATACTGTGACTGTGGCTATTGTTTGTTGATACTGTGACTGGCTATTGTTTGTTAATACTGTACTGTGGCTATTGTTTTTGTCTGTGGCTATTGTTTGTTGATACTGCTTATTTGGTTTTTATACTGTGACTGTGGCTATTGTTTGTTGGTACTGTGACTGTGGCTATTGTTTGTTGATACTGTGACTGTGGCTATTGTTTGTTGATGTGACTGTGGCTATTGTTTGTTGATACTGTGACTGTGTGTGTTTTGTTGATACTGTGACTGTGGCTATTGTTTGTTAATACTATGACTGTGGCTATTGTTTGTTAATACTGTGGCTGTGGCTATTGTTTGTTAATACTGTGACTGTGGCTATTGTTTGTTAATACTGTGACTGTGGCTATTGTTTGTTGATACTGTGACTGTGGCTATTGTTTGTTAATACTGTGACTGTGGCTATTGTTTGTTAATACTGTGACTGTGGCTATGTTTTGTTAATACTGTGACTGTGGCTATTGTTTGTTGATACTGTGACTGTGGCTATAGTTTGTTAATACTGTGGCTGTGTTTGTTGATACTGTGGCTGTGGCTATTGTTTGTTAATACTGTGACTGTGGCTATTGTTTGTTAATACTGTGACTGTGGCTATTTGATACTGTGACTGTGGCTATTGTTTGTTAATACTGTGGCTGTGGCTATTGTTTGTTGATACTGTGACTGTGGCTATTGTTTGTTAATACTGTGACTGTTGGCTATTGTTTGTTAATACTATGACTGTGGCTATTGTTTGTTAAATGTGGCTGTGGCTATGTTTGTTGATACTGTGACTGTGGCTATTGTTTGTTGATACTGTGACTGTGGCTATTGTTTGTTAATACTGTGACTGTGGCTATTGTTTGTTAATCTGTGGCTATGTTTTTGTTAATACTGTGGCTGTGGCTATGTTTGTTATACTGTGACTGTGGCTATTGTTTGTTAATACTGTGACTGTGGCTATTGTTTGTTGATACTGTGACTGTGGCTATTGTTTGTTAATACTGTGACTGTGGCTATTGTTTGTTGTCTGTGACTGGCTATTGTTTTATTATACTGTGACTGTGGCTGTTGTTTTAATACTGTGACTGTGGCTATTGTTTGTTGATACTGTGACTGTGGCTATTGTTTGTTAATACTGTGGCTATTGTTTGTTGTCTGGCTGTGGCTATTGTTTGTTAATACTGTGGCTGTGGCTATTGTTTGTTAATACTGTGACTGTGGCTGTGTTTAATACTGTGACTGTGGCTATTGTTTGTTGATACTGTGACTGTGGCTATTGTTTTTTAATACTGTGACTGTGGCTATTGTTTGTGTCTGTGACTGTGGCTATTGTTTGTTAATACTGTGACTGTGGCTATTGTTTGTTGATCGACTGTGGCTATAGTTTGTTAATACTGTGGCTATGTTTGTTGATACTGTGACTGTGGCTATTGTTTGTTAATACTGACTGTGGCTATTGTTTGTTGATACTGTGTCTGTGGCTATTGTTTGTTGATCTGTGGCTGTGGCTATGTTTGTTGATACTGTGACTGTGGCTATTGTTTGTTAATACTATGACTGGCTATTGTTTGTTGTCTGTGACTGTGGCTATTGTTTGTTAATACTGTGACTGTGGCTATTGTTTGTTAATACTGTGGCTGTGGCTATTGTTTGTTGATACTGTGACTGTCATTTTGTTAATACTGTGACTGTGGCTATTGTTTGTTGATACTGTGACTGTGGCTATTGTTTGTTGATACTGTGGCTGTGGCTATTGTTTGTTGATACTGTGACTGTGGCTATTGTTTGTTAATACTGTGACTGTGGCTATTGTTTGTTGATACTGTGACTGTGGCTATTGTTTGTTGATACTGTGACTGTGGCTATTGTTTGTTGATACTTGATGCTGTGGCTATTTTTTGTTGATACTGTGGCTATTGTTTGTTGATACTGTGACTGTGGCTATTGTTTGTTGATACTTGATGCTGTGGCTATTGTTTGTTGATGCTGTCCATTGTTTGTTGATACTTGGCTATTGTTTGTTATTACTGTGACTGTGGCTATTGTTTGTTGATACTGTGACTGTGGCTTTTGTTTGTTGATACTGTGGCTATTGTTTGTTGATACTGGCTATTTTTGTTGATGCTAGCTATTGTTTGTTGATACTATGGCTATTGTTTGTTGATACTGTGACTGTGGCTGTTTGTTGATACTTGATACTGTGGCTATTGTTTGTTGATGCTGTGGCTATTGTTTGTTGATGCTATGGTTATTGTTTGTTAATACTGTGACTGTGGCTATTGTTTGTTGATACTTGATACTGTGGCTATTGTTTGTTGATGCTGTGGCTATTGTTTGTTGATGCTATGGTTATTGTTTGTTAATACTGTGACTGTGGCTATTGTTTGTTATACTTGATGCTGGCTATTGTTTGTTGATCTGTGGCTCTTGTTTGTTGATACTGGCTATTGTTTGTTGATACTTGATACTGTGGCTATTGTTTGTTGATGCTGTGGCTATTGTTTGTTGATACTTGATACTGTGGCTGTTGTTTGTGATGCTGTGGCTATTTTGTTTGTTGATATAGTGTGGCTATTGTTTGTTGATGCTGTGGCTATTGTTTGCTGATACTGTGGCTATTGTTTGTTGATACTTGATACTGTGGCTATTGTTTGTTGATGCTGTAGCTATTGTTTGTTGATACTGTGGCTATTGTATGTTGAGGCTGTGGCTATTGTTTGTTGATGCTGTGGCTATTGTTTGTTGATGGTGTGGCTATTGTTTCTTGATGCTGTGGCTATTGTTTCTTGATACTTGATACTGTGGCTTCGGCATCTGTAAATTCTTGTTTGTTGAGACTGTAACCATTTGCCCTTATTGTTAACATAGTTAACCAGTTCGAGGCACTCACCTCCTACGCTATAACTACTTTGTTTTTCAAATTCTCTGGTACTTGCAGCAACAGTTGCTGCAACATTATTTTTGGCCGTGCTGTCGTTCTGTCGTAATGGACCTTCGAATCTTGTTTACTTCACTGGTATCCACCTCCCCTGTTGCGTTCTGAGGGCTGCCGTGAGCTTAACTGACTTTTGATGTTCGGTGGCAGCAATCTCCTCTGGATTGGTCAATCCCTTTCCTCCCAGTCTCGGTGGTAGTGCAAGGAGTGATCTTCCTGCTGGGGTTAGGTGAGGGTGTTTCACTAATTTGGGAATGAAATTGACGCTGATAGCTTCTTCCAGAGGCTAGAGGAGGGGGTCCGATATCAGGGAGAGTGCGCTGCAGGTAGTTCCAGCGATGCTTGACTCCATGGGTGAATGCCGCAAAAGCCGCATGTGGCTCTGTGCTAGCAATCTCAGACAAAAGCTTGATTTCCTAACCCACTCTATTCACCTTTCCTGTTGCTGTGTACTCGGTCTTGAAGTCCGTCGTGCTGGATTACTGCACCTAGGTGTCTTTGGCCATCATTTGTTATTTTGACGTCGCTTCCACCGAACACCTCCATTGCCCGTTCATAATGTTCTGCCTCTACAATGAGGAAGGATTTATTGGTGCTTGGGTGGCACCTTATTTGTGGGCCTCGTGATGTTACTTCTTCAGGTCCCACCACTTTTTTGATGTCCTCCACTTTTTCTGTTCTGTAAGGTCGCTCAGCACGCCACTTGCTTGACCTCTGTTGTTTCAAATTTTAATGTGTTGGAGCACGGATAGGCCTATTATGTGCTACTGCTATTGCAACAGGGTCCCCTGCGTTACCCGGTTGACTGTTTGATGGTATCAAATTTTAGAGCCTTGTTGTTTACGTAAGCAGAGGTTCGATGGATTCTATAAGAGTTCTCAACATACTTTGCAAAGCTTGCATACTTTTTGATCTTGATGCTAAAGCAGTGCGGCCTTGCGTTATATGTTGAATGCGTTTGAAGCGTCCAGCACCAGAGAACGGGCTCACAATCGCACTGCTCAACATCGCTTTCATG